TTATTTTTTTTCCTTGTGCTTATGTGGTAGGTTGCAACATACAGCCACAAATGATCTAGTTATGTATGCCCCTTTGCATTGTGAGTTTGGTTCTCCTCTCATGAAGAGGTGGAGTTTATTTACATATCTCTTGACTCTGAGCTAGTCTTTTGACTTGCTTTGAGTTTTAGTATGCAGCAGAAGAGATACATGTGACCTCCAATGCAGGCCGTCAAAAGTCTTTTTTGTTTGTTTGTTTAAAGCTACTAAATATTGAGGTGGTTAATTATGTAAGAAAAGCTAACTGAACTAGATTTTCCCTCTGAATTTTACATATGTCTACATATCACCATTTCCCTATGGTATTAAGCATTGGGAGTCTTGGGTGGTGCTGTGAGTTAATGCTCTGGACTGTAAGGTCGGTTTGAACCTCAAGGTCGGCAGTTCAAACTCACCAGCCGCTCCTTGGAAACCCTATAAAACAACAATATTAAGTATTTACATGGTGACCTACTAGGAGCTATACCATCAGAATTGTTTCCAGCTTATTTCATCTTTTATTATCTTTAAGGTATCTTACAGCTTCCTAAGTGGTAGAAATTAATAGTAGTTAAATCATTCTTGCCCATAAAAAGTCAAATGGTTGTGCTTTGTTGTGGTTGTTAAGCACCATCAAGCTGGTTCTGACTCATAGAGACCCTGTCTGAGTTTGTGAGTTGAATCAGTGCATTATCCCATAGTACTACACTAGGACTCCACGGTTGTGCTTCATTGTTGTTGAGTGTTGTCGAGTTCATTCCGACCCAGTAGCGATCCTATATAGGTTTTCCAAGGAGTGGCTGGTGACCTTGAACTACCTACCTTGCAGTTTAAACCGACTTTGCAGTCCAGCCATTAAGCCACAGCACCACACCAGGACTGGAAGATGCAAATGATTATTGAGTTCTGGTGGCATTATAGGATAAGCACTGTACTTCTAATTGCAAGGTCGGCAGCTCAAACCCTCCAACCACTCAGCAGGAGAAAGATGAGACTTTCTGTTCCTATAAAGATTTACAGCCTTATAAATCCTATACACAGTCGCTGTGAGCTGGCAATAGGTGTGGTGTTTTGATTTTGTAGAAATTCCTTTCAGAATTTTTTATTTTCTATATATCTCTCTCCTCGGAAACCCTATACAGGCTCATTATGAGTCAGAACCAACTCGACAGCACTTAACAACAATAACGATTTATCTCTCTGCATTTTTTTAAAAAAGTTTTTATTGTGAACTCAGTGATCATTTACATGGGAGAGTATTAACTTTATACCATCATTTCATTGCAATGATTACAACTCCTCCATGCATCATCATTCAACAGTATTTGTTTCCATCTCTTTGGAATGTTTTTTTTGGGAGGGAGGGTTAAGAGGGGGACTCACTGCATTTTTAATGCTTCCTCTTTAAAAAGTCTCTTATTCTGAAATGTGTTTACAGAGTAACTCAGCTTTCCATTCAACAATTCATACACATTTTGTTTCCTGCCAAAGACTGCAGTCTCCACAACGTGACATCACTCACCCTACTTACTCCGGGCGCTTCCTAATTCCATTCCTCCTTCTTTCCTACCCCTCCCTATCTTTAGAACTTGGTCCTTGGGCAAACGTTGCCCTTTTGATCATAAATAGTTGGTTGTTCTGAGGAGTAAGTACAAACCTATTGTTTGACTGAAAGTTGAACCAGGGTGTGAGTTCAGTTCTAGGCCTGAACAGTGACTAATGGCCACAGTCTTGAGGGTCCACCAGTTCTTATTTGACCAGCAAGCCTGGTGTTTTTATGACTTTGAACACATTTTTCTCCCACTCTACCCAGGACTCCCTTTCAGAGAAGACAGTAGAGGAAGCCTGGTATCATCTAAGGATCTCTGGTAGCAGTAGCGTAGTGGTTACAAATCAGGCTGCAAACCACAAGGTCAGCAGTTTGAAACAACCAGCTGTTCTGTGGGAGAAAGATGAGGCGTTCTGTACAGGGTTACTATGAGTCAGAACCGACTCCACAGCACACAGCCACCAGCCGCATCATCTTGTTCTGGTTACAGGGTCATGGGTGATGAGGTTTGCATGGCCTTTTTAGACTCTTGTAGACTAACTGTTTCCATACACCTTTGATTTCTTTATTCTTTTTGTTCCAGACAAGGAGAGACCAATAGTCACACGTTGTTGTTGTTACGTGTCATGGAGTTGGTTTAAGATGCGGCTGATGGTCTGCAACTTCCGACCTTGTGGTTAGCAGTGCTTATCTTACAGCACCAACCCAGAAGTCTTCAACACTACTCCAGCCTCTGTGATTTTAAATGCCATCAGGGTTACTCATAGTGGGCAGGTTGCAGTGGACCCTTCCGCCTAAGATGGACTGGGAACAAAAGGCTTGGTGATCTACTTCCAAGAATGAGCTACTGAAAACCTTTTATGGATCAAAAGCTCTTCTAACATAGTGATAGAACATGAGCCCCCAAGGTTGGAAGGCACTCAGAATACAGTGGCCGCCCCAGTGGACTGGAACGTTAGTACATCAGCAAACGAATGATTGTGGGGATGGCACAGGACCAGCAACTTTCCCTTGTGTTTTGCGTGGGGTTGCCATGAGGCAGAGCAGACTCAATGGTAACTGACAACAATAGCAAGCTACCTTTGTTACAGACATCAGAAGCCAACCCCTGTCAGCTTAAACAAAGGGGAAAGGCGTTAGAATGTTCCTGGGACACCTCAAGGAAGAGAAGGTAAAGATGGGGAATAGGGGAAGTTGAGGTTGTTGTGGGGTTGTCAGTAGCTGGGCCAACACCATGCACTGTTAACTTCAAGTTCTTAGAACAGAACAGCTGACTTGTCCAATGTCCATCAACAATGGTCTAGGGGTGGGGAGGCCAGGAACACAGGGAAAAAAGCGGTCGAATTCCTGGAAATCCCAGTGTGGAAACCAGAAAAGGTGTAATTCCCTCACGGACAAGGCCTCTTTTTTGTTTGTTTGTTTGAAGTTTTAATTTTGTAATACTTCATTCCTCTCAATTCTTTTTGGAGCTACTGTATCAAGGTGTCTTTTGAAAAGGAAATTATTGAGGGGCCATTTTTGAAACTGTGTAACAATGTTGGGCAACAGTGCCTACTTTCACCCAACTCAATCGTAACACGATTTTATTGCAAACGGGTTCCGAAGCGAGTGGCTGGTGTTAAGCGCCGTGGAGTCGGTTCCGATTCATAGCGACCCTGTATAGGGTTTCCGAGGCTTTAAAATCTTCTCGAGAGCAGAAAGCCTCATCTTTCTTCCGCCAAGCAGCTGGCGGGCTCGACCTTGTAGTCAGTGCTTACCGGATGGGCAGTTTAAAACGATATTTAAAAACAAGTTAAAGGTGTAGACAAGAAAGGAGTTGCACTAAAACACGAAAAGGGGATAAAACCGGATAAGAGGTGTGTAACAGAGAGGAAGGAAGCGGTAGCTAAAAGGCAGACTTCGATGGCTTCTGTGAAACGCCACCAGCCGCCAAGTTTGTTGCCAAGAGGACGCGGACAGATGCTCGCAGCTGCTGCTGGGGGTCAGAGGTCTCCGTAGTTTACGCTGGATAAGCCAATCCCAAGACGCCCGAAGTGGGGACCAGTCACAGGTGCATCGCTACCACCCCGACGCCTCTCGCAGTGTGACAGGCTGCACCCCGATCCGCGCGCGCCTCTCCCTAAGGCAGCCGCCTCGACTTTGCTGCCGCCCCCACTGCGCAGAGTGGAGGGGGCTGGAGGCTGGGGAAGCGTGCCGAGGGAGGCGTTTGTTCCCACTGGGATTTAGGCGGCGCTTTGGCTCGCAGCTGCAGCAGGAACATCTGCCTCCACGTCGCGCCGTCAGCGACATCTTGCTCAGGAGGAAAGCGATGGGGGAGCGCAGGCCGCGTTGAGCTGCTTGCTGTTCCACAGGCGCCGCGGCCGGGGCCAGAGGAGCCAGCGCAGGCGCCTGCGAGGCCGGAGGAGGAACCGGAGGAGGTAACATCCGCCGCCCTAGCAGGCTTGGGCGTCCAGAGGCCCTCGGGCTCCCCGTGGGGCCCTTCCCCCGCCCGGCCACTAGCGCCCCCGGGTCCCCTCAGTCCCACTTCGTCCCTCCCACTGGGCCCGTGCTCCAGGCTGCCACCCCCTGCGGCCTCCGGCTCTCGACCTCCGCGTCGTCCCCGCGGTAACGCCTCCCCCAGTTGCGGGTCTTGCTCTCGCCCCCTCTCCAGAGAGCCCGCCGCCTGTCGCTGGACCACGCCCGCCACGCTCGGGGTAGGGAGGGGGACGTGGGCGGGGCGGGCCAAAGGGGGCGAGCACCTCCCGGCTGGGGCCGTTCCTGCCCCCAGGCTCCGCCCTACCCGCGCGGCTGCCCCCCTGCCCCCTACAGTCCCGCCCCTCCAGGGCGGGGCTATGATTTTCAAAGTCGCGGCGGGAGCAAACCGGGCCTGGGAAGGGGCGGGGCCGCCAGGCCAGTCCTCTGTTTCGTGTCCTGATCTCTTAGGTGGCGGCGGCGGTGGCAGCTCCAGCTGCCCGACAGTAGAGCCAGGACTAGCCGAGCGCGCTTGGACGCTAGGTGGGAGGGCGGAGCGGCCCGAGCCGGGACCATGTCCCCTGGGAGCAAGGTGAAGAGTGAGTACATGAAGCGCTACAAGGACCCCAGGTGGGACATGTACGGGCCCTGTTACCGGGAGCTGCTGCATTACCGTCTGAGCCGCCGACTGCTAGAGCAGGCGCACAATCCCTGGTTTTGGGACGACTGGGGTCCGGCCAATTCCTCGGACGACTCGTCGTCGTCGTCGGGCGGCGGGGGCTCTCTGTGTCCGGCGCCCCAGGGCGTCCCGGTCCCGCCGACCTCTCCGCCCAGGCCCTCGGCGCGGGAGGACCCGGACAAGCCTAAACGCAGCGCCGCTCTGGAGCTGGAGGCCTCGGAGGACACGGACGCCGGCGCCGCGAGTCCTTCAGGTACTCAGTCTGGGCGCCAGATCTGGGTCAGGGTGGCGCAGCTGACTTCCTTCGTTGGGGAACCTCCTCCGAGAGAGTGCAGTTGTTTGGGGGGATCTTAGTTCTCCTCCTTGCTGTTTCTTGCAGTGCTCAGGGTCAGCTCTTCTGTTAGTATTTTTGTAAACTAAGAATCTGCGGCTTGACAAAATACAGGAGGTACTCGCCGGCCTCCCTCTCGCCTGTGTTTCCAGATTAGTTTGCCTTGGGCTGGGCCAGCTGTAAAGTTAGGCGAGTGTCTCTTTCGAAACCTGTGGTCTTTAAAGAAGGTCATGAGTCACTAATGTTTTTTAAGCATTTCTTTCTTTCTTTCTTTTTTTTTTTTTTTTGGTGTGAATTAAGAAGGTTTACAGAAGTTTTACATTCAACAAATCAGACATTCCTTTTCATTTCAATGATTGTTAACCTCTCAATGGATTACATATCCCATTTCCTCCTAGTGGGTCTAGTTTTCATTACGCCTTCTTCCCCAACCTGTTTGAATTTTGTCCGTAGGTAAAATTTTTTCATCATCTTGAGTGGTTGACCATATTCCATGGTGGGCAGATTGCACTAATGTTGTTGCCCCCCCCCCCCATACACTGTATGTACAGGTTGATTGAAAATTGACTTAATCCTACTAGGATTAAGCATCCGTTTTTGCAGCAAGGAGCACCAGCTTTCATCTGACTCTCAAAGGTTACTCCAGAGTTTAGGGACCACTGAGTAGGCTTTCTGCCCTATGAATGAATGTCCTCAGTTTCTGTATGAACTCTGACCTCCCTGGCTTCTCATAAGGAACATTTTTGCACTTGTTTATGCAGACTGGTTGGTGGGAGAATATTCCTTTAAATGTTGGGTTCTCTCTGCATCTTAACCGGCCCATCCTTCCTCTTCCATACATCAGAAAACCTCTGGTGAAGCCGGAACTGAAAGAGGGCTCCTGGCTCTGTGCGTTCCTGTGGTGCTCAGCTGTGGCCCTACTCCACTCTTTCCTATCAAAGGATGCAGAGCTGGGGCCTCAGTATGTGGGGCTGGGTGGATGCTGTTGCTAAGGGTTGAATTCCTCAGAAACCATCCAGGTTAATGAACATTTCATCCTGCTACTCCAATTTATTAGAGCATAGTGGTTATGAATTGGGCTCTGAACTTCAAGGTCAGCAGTTTGAAACTACCAGCTGTACCATGGGAGAAAGATGAGGCTTTCTACTCCTGTAAAGATGTACAGCCTTGGAAACCCTGTACGGGGTCGCTATGAGTCGGAACTGACTCCATGGCACATAACCACCACCGCTCCTATTTATTGGAGCAACAATCCTAAAAGGTCCATAGCACCTTTTTTTTTTAGATCAGTTTTGTAGATGAAAAGATGGATGCTCAGGATAACTTTGCTTTTGTTCGTTTACCCTATTTGAGAGAGTTGATCAGATACATATCCAGGGCTACTCTGACAGGGTGAGGAGAAGAGGAAATTTAGAACTTCCTAATTCTAAATTTAGTAAACTAAGGTCAGCAAAAAAAGAGGAAGACCAGTCAACGAGATGGACTCATACAGTGGCTGCAAGCATGGTTGTGTAAACATTACAATGCAAAGGATGGCCCAGGATAAGACAGGGTTTACTTCTGTCGTACATGGGGTCGCTGTAAGTTGGAACTGACCTCACAACACCTAACTACATCTTTGCTCTTGGTGATACAGTCTTTACCTATTCTCAGTTTATTATCTGTGGTGGTGATGTTACCTTCCTAGTATCATACGTTGCTTGTGAGTACCCACAGATTCTTCATGCTTCAGCGATCATTTGCTCGAAATTCAAGTTAACAGAAGGTAGAGGGGTCGGGGAAGATGCTTTCCGAATAATTCTTGTGGGCGCTGATCTAAATTATGAACTGTAGACTAAATTGGTCACTCTCTCCTCTCGTGTGTTTTTCTTCTCTGTAATTGTTTGGGAAGGAGTACATGTTAGTACAAATTGACAGAGCACTGTAATATGGTTGTTGTCTTTGCTTACCTATTCAGGTTTGTTCTGAATCCTTGGTTATCTGGGTTTCCTTGGCTGTATTGAATCCTTCCCGTAGCCAGGGTCAGGTAATTTTTCCTTCGTGTGGCACTGTAGGAGAAGCACTCGACCGTAAGATCAGTTTGAACCACAAGGCTGGCGGTTCAAACTCACCAGCCGCTCTTCGGGAGCTCTATACAGGGTCACTGTGAGTCAGAACCAACCTGACGGCACTTAACACCAACAGGGATGCTTAGTGGGGTGGCGCTGTATGATAAGCACTGGATCGCAGCATCGGTTTGAGCAGTAAGGTTAGAGGTTCAAACTCAACAGCCATTCCTCAAAAACCCTATATAGGGTTGCTATGAGTCGGAACTGACTAGACGACACTTACCAACAACAATGCATGAGTACTATCTTTTAGAGAGATCAGCATGAGACTAGTTTCTGTGAAGCAGAGGTTAAAGAACGATTTCCCAAATGTCCAATGTTTCTAACATGTTGTTAATGTGCTATGGAGTCAGTTCCAACTCATAGCGACCCTGTACAGGGTTTCCGAGGCTGTAAATCTTTATGGGAGCAGAAAGCCTCATCTTTCTCCTACGGAACAGCTAGTAGTTTCCAACTGCTGACCTTGCGGTTCACAGCCCAATTTGTAATCACTACGCTATCAGAGCGCCTTTCTAACACGTTGTTGTTGTTGTTATGTGCCATCGAGTCGGTTCCGACCCATAGAGACCCTGTATAGGGTTTCCGAGGGTGTAAATCTTTACGGGAGTAGAAAGCCTCATCTTTCTCCCGCAGAGCAGCTGGTAGTTTCGAACCGCTGACCTTAAGGTTCACAGCCCGATTCGTAACCACTACGCTAAACACGTTAGGCCATCCATAAACCTTGATATTAATCACCACTCTGCCCCTCCCTTGTGCCCCAGGGTTCTGCAACACACTGCAGTGTCTCATAGAACTCTCAAGGGTCAAAGGACATGGCTCACATGATTGTGGAGAATGGTGGTGGTGGTCATGTGCTGTGGAGTCCGTTCCGACTCATAGCGACCCTGCATAGGGTTTCCGAGGATGTAAATCTTTACGGGAGCAGAAAGCCTCATCTTTCTCCCATGGAACAGCTGGTAGTTTCGAACCTTGAGATTAGCAGCCCAATTCAAAACCACTACGCTACCAGAGATCCATTGTTCTGAGATCAGTATGCAGGAATCTCCCCACCCACATAGTCTCCGGAGCTGAGGAACTCTAATCAACAGGTCCGATGACAAGTTGTTGATGAGTGAGTCTTCCAAAGCTGGTGAAGCAGATCAGGTGATGATGGGCTGCAAGTCTCAGGGACAGGAGGTCAGATGTCATGAGCTAGATGCAACATCCAGGGCAAGAGAAGAAACTTTGCCAAGGTATTCCCATATACTGGACTCAGACCATACCCCTGAGGAAAACTAAGGGTGCTGGTTTGAGTCATACCCTCTAGTAAGGTGGGGACATTCTTAATCTTTAGCTCCACCTTAATCTTCACTTGTTATTATTAGATGCCCTTGAGTTGGTTCCATTTATAGAGACCCTAGGCCAGCTAGTTGGTACTGACTCGTAGTGATCCTATGCATAAAAGAACAAAACACTGCCAAGTCCCACCCTAGCCTCAAAATCATTGCTACAGCTGAACCCATTGCTGTGGTCACTGTACCAATCTATCGCACTGGGGTCTTCCTCTTTTTTCTTCAACCCTCCACTTGACCAAACATGACATCCTTCTCCGGGGACTCATCACTCCTGATTGTATGTCCGAAGTATGAGAGACAAAAAGTCTGACCATCCTGGCATCCAAGGAGCGTTTTGGCTGCACTTCTTCCAGCACAGATTGGTTTGTTCTTTTGTCTGTCCGTGGCACTTTCAATATTCTCCTCCAACACCGTAACTCAAAGGCATCAGTTCTTCTCTGGTCTTCCTTATTCACTGTCCAGCTTTCGCATGCATATGAGGTTATTGAAAATTCCATGGCTTGGGTCAAGTGCACCTTAGTCCTCAAGCTGACATCTTTGCTCGTGAACACTCTAAAGAGGTCTTGTGCAGCATGTTTGCCTCCTGAAATACGTCGTTTGACTTTTTGGCTGATCTCTCACTGCTTTGTTGTGGTTGATTATGTTCCTACTTCCAAGGAACAGCTGGTCAGTTTGACTTTGTGATTAGCAGTCTAGTGCTTGTCCTACAGCACCCCACTTGGCCCCACCTTAATCCTTATTTCCTGTTGTCATTGTTGTTAAACACCTTCCAGTTGGATCAGACCCATAGTGACCCTGTATAGTGTTTCTGAGGAGTGGCCAGAATCCCACTTTAATCCTGCCTCATTAGCTCTGGTAGTGTAGCGGTTACAAATTGGGCTGCGAACCGCAAGGTCAGCAGTTCAAAACTACCAGCTGCTCCGTGGGAGAAAGATGAGGCTTTCTGCTCCCGTTAAGATTTACAGCCTCGGAAACCCTGTTCAGGGTCGCTATGGGTCGGAACCGACTCAACAACAACAACATTTAACAACAACAACAACATTAGCAACTTACTTCAAAATGGACCCATAATTTCTGGCATTGTTGTCGTTGTTAAATGCCATTTACCCATAGCGAGGAGCAACTGGTGACTTGAACCTCGGACATTGCGGTTCAAACTGACTTTGCAGTCCAGCGCATTAACCCACAGCACCATACCAGGACTTCAATTAAAGGCATAGAAGTTAGGGTTTATAATGCACCACACAGTGAAACAATATGGCTAGAAGAGACACATAGATCATTATCTGTCCTGCAACTAGGCATTCATTGAAATGGATTGGCAGTAGGGTGGCCACAACAATGGGCTCAAACACAGCCACAGCTGTGAGGGTGGCTGAGGACCAGTTAGTGGTTTGTTCCCTTTCATACATAAGGCCTATGTGAGTGGCGCTGACTTGATGGCACCTAACAATAAGAACAGTATTTTCTCGCTTAGGCA